TTAAAATGTAAACATGTTCCGCCCAATGCCTCCCAGCTATTGCTTAAAGATATAAAAATAAAGTAGACCCTGAGACTTCTCAGAGGGACCCTGAACATTGCTTGTGGAGGTTCTTTCTCATCGCCGTCCCAGGACATCTCCCCTTCCTACCCTACATCAACTGCAGCTGGTCTGCGGCACATCAGCAAATATTTAGATGTATGAAGGCTCATTAAAGAACTGATCGTAGGGGCTGAGGATTTAGCTCAGTGGTTCTGCCGCCTGCCTCACAAGCACAAGGTCCCGAGTTTGATCCCTGGTACCAAGAAAACCCCCCAAGAAAACAAAAAAACTGATCATAATAGAAAGAGGAAAAACTTTTAAATGTCCAACAATGGAGCATGGTTGAACAAATTATGGTATAGTTTTATGGAACATATGGCAAAATATTATGTAGTAATTTCAAATGATGCTACAAAAGTATATTTTCTAGCAGTGAAAGATATTCTAAATATTTTATGAAAAAAACAGATCATAAAATAATCTATACAGTTTGATTTTATTGAAAAAATAAATACATATAATTTTTATATATGCAGAAACATCTGAGAGGATATAACATCACCTGTTAATTAAAAGGTTATCCTAGGATGGAACTTTTTATTTTTTTTATTTTTTTAAATTTTTTGGTACCAGGGATCAAACTCTGGACCTTGCACATTCAAGGCAGGCACCGGAACCACTGAGCTAAATCCCCTGCCCCTCCCAGGATGGTATATTAAAGGGTAATTTCAATGTTCTTCTAGCTTGTTTGAATCTTTGAAATATGTATAAATAATATTTTCAACACAGAAAATGCCATTAGTATTTTGCTGAGAGACTGCGGTGGTCTCAGTACTTACTCTCTTTCTGGCTCCTCTGCCCATGCTGACACTCTGAAAGAACAGAAAGAGAAGGCAAGTGATAAGCAAGTTGATATGAGAATATAGAGAGGATTTCACCCAAGGACCTCACAGAAAAAGCACACTGAGCTTTCTCAACTCTCAAACACTTGCAGTTGTGACCTGTGCTTCTTAGCCCAATCAAGGAGGACCCGTATCTGAGGCAGCTCTGTTTCAGCATCATTGAGACTAACCTATAAAGAGCAACCAGATAATACCACTGGGCATTTCTTCCTTCTCTTCCTCTTCCACTTCCATTTCCTCCTCCTCCTCTTTCTTCTTCTTTTTTTTCTCTTCCTTCTCCTCCTCCTTCCTTATTTGGCACCTCTGGGGATTGAACCTATGGCCTTGTACAAGCTGGGCAAGTATTCTACCTCTGAGCTACATCCCCAGCCCTAGCACTGGGCATTTCTTAATTGTATCTAATTCAACAAATACTTTAAACACATATTCTAAATGCTCAGCTCTGTACTAGTCAATAAGGGGATTTGAAAGGCAGATTATATTCATAAACACTTGTTTGGGATTAAAAACAAGCACCTTATGAGCAGGTACTTTATTTGCTTTGTACACTGCTATATTTCTAGCATCTAGAACAATCCTCAGAATGTAACAGATGTTCAAAACACTTATGGAATAAATGAGTGAATAACATCTAAACCTATTGGTCATTGCAAGCCTGGGAAATGTTTATCCTCTTTGAGCTTCAATTTCTTCAACAGGAAAAGGTATAGTATTGGACAGGATAAACTTTCAGTTCTAACACACAAAACTTTATGTTCCTAAGAGCATATGGTTTAGATATGGTTTGAATGCTCGCCAAAGATTTATGTGTTAGAGGCCTGCTCTCCAGAGAGGTGGTATTGGAAGGTGATGGAACCTTTAAGACGTGGGAGCCAGAGGTGGCCTTTTCTCAGCTGGGTATTAAAGAGTAAGATATGTTGCCTAGGTGGAGATGTTTTTCAGAAGAAAACAGCTGTACAAAGGCAAGAGAAGAACAATGACAGATATGTTAAAGAATGTTCTAAAAATGGAAACAAAGCTTTTGTAAATAAGGAGGGGAGGGGGGTTGAAGGGAGGAAAGGGAATTGAGAGAAAAAGAGGAATCAAAATGTACTATGTACAGGTGCAAATTCTTTTGATGAATGTGATCGTTATATATATTTAAATTGTACCAATAAAATTAATTTTTAAAAATGTTCTACCAAACAAAAGTCCCACAGTGTATATATAGGCATTTCAGACAATTCAGCATAAACAGCATGAATGGGGAATGGAGATGTAAGAGAAGTGAATGGAACAAACAGACCTGGAGCACTAAATGAAGGGTCAAGACAACAGAGAAATATGAACTAAGAGAATGTGTTAGTGGCAGTAATGGTACATTGTTGCAAAGGGACTCCCTCCCAAGTCTATAACTGACCAACGGTGTGATTTTGAAGAAGGCTCTGAGTCAAAGGCAAAGTGAGGGACTTAAACTAGACTGGATGGGCTTCTACAGTTCTTACAATGATAAATTCTTTGGGAGTGACTTGGATTGCAGGAGGGAGAAAAGGGATTCCAGGAGAAGAGAAAAACACTACGCTTAGCTTGGGCTGGAATTGTTACTGATAGGGTGGGCAGTGGGATTCAGATTACTGCAACGTTTCCAGGGTTTCCAGTGATGGGAACCCTTCTCTGAGGCTAAGCCACATGAGCCAGAAAACTCTTTCTTTCCTTTGAAGAGCCTCTGATCCCTAAGGTTAACAGGATGGGAGCGTCACAATGTCCAACAGCTTTCTGGCCCACAACAGAGCACTGGAGGACCAATCTCAACTCAAACCACCAGCCTTAAATAGAAAACGAGATCCAGTTACGACTGCCCCCTGTAAATATGTCTGTAAAACATTTATCTGGCAATAAAAGAACTGACAAGGCAATTTGAGTGTAATTGTTTTTGGCAGTTGGAAATATTTCAATTAACACACTATAAAAGCCACACTATAATAAATGCAAAACAGGCCAATGAAATCAACTGCAGCCCTGACTTCCCAACTGTGGCAAAGGAGATTGAACATCAGGCTGCCACTTCAGGCCCTTGGTCTTCCAGAAGGAGAAGCTTGAGACAGACAAGCCTGAATTCTTAAAAAGCTTTTGATAGTTCCTCCCAAAGCCATCAAATCACAGAAGAAAAAAGCCCAAACACCCTCTGTGGGCCCTCAGAACTCCTTCATCTGGCCCAAACTCTCTAATCCAGCATGCTTTCCCACCCTTCATGTGCTAAGATTTTGAGATGTAATCCAATGAAGCTACTCACAGTCCCTGAGCCCAGCCTGGGCCTTCTCACCTCTCCTCCTTTGCTTTTACTATTCCTCTTGGAAGGAATGTCAGATTTCCCTTCCCCCTTTCTGCCCCTCCTACCTCTGCCTGACAAAAGCCTACCCAAATGGCCTCTGGTAGTTCTTTATATAACTCCTCCTGACATATTACCACCTTTCTCCAATCTTCCTCTACTCTTCCTTTCCTCACTTTGAGCACTCTCCCATCCACCTTCCACCACATGTCTTGGCTGTTGTAAGATTAAGGACCAAATGCATCTTTCAATAGATACTCTGTTGTCTCTGGTCTATAAAAGAGGACAGTATTGTGAAAAGAAAAAGAATACTGTACAACATATGGGAAATGGCTTGGAAATTCCAGCAAAAGAGGCCCACCATTCTTATGCTATTGACAAAAGAAAGCCCACTTCTCTTGGTCAGGTCATTCTATTTGACCACAGGGGAACATATATGAAAGAGTGAAGCAGGAAAAGGAAACCTATACAGCCTACCATGGCAGACAACCCTAGTGATCAATTAGACAACATATGCTCCAGCCTGATCTTCATAGTTGAGCATTTTTCTATTCTCATTGTTAGGGATTCCAGTGTGAACACCCTGAGGGCAGGAAGTGCATCTTGTTCATCTTTGGGCCACTACCCCAGAGCCTAGCACTTGGATAGAGTTCACTTATCTTTATAGAAGGCATCAGTAACAACTCAGGTGACTAATAGTCATTTCTCAGTTCTCTTATAGGACCTAACATTGCTGAGGGCTCCCTCCCTCCTTCTCGAAACTTCTCCACCTTCATTCCACATCACCAGTCTCTCTGCTGGTTCCTTCTCAATACCCTTGACCCTTCCCTCCGGGATCATATAGTATCCTGGAGCCTCTGGTCTTCCTATCCTACATACTTCCCCTGAGTGTTCCTACCCCTGGTCATACCTTTATCTCCTTCTATAGTTTAGACTTCCCAGTGCCTCTTGTTCACACTGATCATAGGGTACTCAATATCTTAAAAACCAACCTCATTATGTTCTTTTTTTGACCCCAAACTGCCACTTCCTCCAGTATTCCCTCATTCAAGTATACCACCATCCATTTAGTTACTCTGGTTGGAAACTGATGCCTGCCTTATTTTTATCCTTTTGCTAGTATCATATTTCAATATCTAACAATTCTATTTCTTCAATATCTTTCATGACTATCTGCTCCATTTACATCCCCCTTAATTCAGGTCCTTACTGAAAGTTGCCTAACCACATTTTATCTCCCTGTCTCCAGTTTCCCTTCACTCTTATCATTTTCAGATTCTGAGCACTTAATCTGACCTAGTAATTTACTAAGCCATTTGTGTATATTATCTCATTTAATCTTTACAACTATCCTATGGGTTCAGAATTGTTATTACTCCTACTGTACTGTTGGGGAAACTGAGACATAGAGAGATCAAGCAATTGACCTAAAATTGACCAGAATTTGAAACCAAACTTTTAATCACTATTTTTAAAGAATCTCCATGAAACATAAATCTGATCATGTCACTCTCCTGATTTAAAGACTCCGAGAACTCCCCATCAGTTCTGAGACAGACTCTAAGCTCCCTATGATGGTACTGTATCTGTCTCATTCCTACTCTTTCCCTCTCACCACCACATCAGCTACTTACAGTTCTCCCTATTTATGAAAGAGCCATGCATGCAGGGAGACTGAGTCTATGTGTCAGATATACCTCCTGAAACTGGGCAGGTGAGAGTGGCTGGCTTAGGAGCGGCTGCCCACATAAAATGTCTCCTCTTTTTCCACATTCACAGGACTTCTTTCCTGAGTCATCTGACTTTGCTGCTCTGTCTCAAGCATCTTGCCCCCTTCCCTCAGTATTACCAAGTATGATATCTGGCCACAATTAACGTCCTGCCCTTAATGCTCTGCATGAGTCCCCCTAACCCACTGAGATGCTGCCTCTCTGGGTCTTTAACTACCTTGCTTTTTAGGCATAGTTCCAGATCACTTCCTTGGCTTACACTCACTTTTGGATGATCTTTAGGTTAACATCCCTCCCTGTGGGATAACATCCCTCAGGGTCATCCCTTTCCATAAGCAGCCCTCTGTGCAGCTCCACTTACTCTATCCTAGGATACTTGAGGAAGTCAAAGAGTGGAGAGTAGGCTGCAAAGAAGTTGGAAAGCTGTGAAGAGGAACTGAGACAGAATGAGATAGCTGACATGAGACATTCTCATTTATAGCAGAGAAATACCAAGGGCAGATGTTTGAGGTCCATTCACCTAGCATAATCTGTAGAGGGGATAGAAGGGAGGGGCAGGTAGAGACCAACTGACCACCATCACTATCCCCAGCCACAATCTAGTGAGCACTCACTAGTGGGCAGGCTCTTGGCCAGATATTGCACAGTCATTATACCCAAACCTCAGTGCCTCCTTGCAAAGTAGGTAAAATTGCTGTATTTTAGAGACAAAGCTACTGAGAACTGCTCACATCAAATGATATGGTCAATTGAAGAGTACTTGGAAAATAACATTTCTTGTCAGTCTAAGTATTTTTGTTGGTGGTGGTATTGGGGGCTGTACACAGGGCCTTTGCAGTAAGCTACATCCTCAGCCCTTTTAAAATTTTTTATTCTGAGTCAGGATCTCACTAAGTCACTAAGTTGCTCAGTCTGGGCTCCAATTTGTGATC